TAAATGGATAAATCCTAAATCGGCAGAATTGAGCCTAACTCGCCCATTCCGATGTCAATCCACTAAGAATTATCAATTATCTCGAGAAGTAATAAATAAAAAAAGAAATTGAGCGCTGTAATTGTTGTAAAGGAATTACGATCGCGTTTTAATAATCATCACATCGCATAATTTTCAACATTTGTTTTCTGTCAAAGGAAGGATGTAAAATTTTAATGTTTCATGTTATTATTTGATAATAAACCATGATACCTGGCATTTTCTGTATCATTTTAAGTTTATAATATGGTAATATTGTAGTTTATTACCACCATAGGTAACGCGAAATTTGACTATCCTGATATTTATGTAAACAGAGGAGAGGAAATATTCTAAAGAAATTAGATACTTATTACAAGTTTGTTTCATTGCTTACGCAGTACACAGTTTTACACTCAGCCTCAATGGAATTGCTATGACTGGTAAGGTATTTAAGCTAAGGTGGTCCCACCTTAGCTTAAATACCTTACCCTTTTTTGAGCTTAAACTACTTGATTAAACTGGAGATGTGATATGGGTTGCTACACAGTGGGGTTGTGTGGTGGACTATGACCTAATATCCCCTGTACAGTGAAGACCTTTGCAGACTTTTGCGGAATGGCAGGCTTCGCATATCTTCGAAACATATTTGTTGCTATTATTTCAAAAATATCCAGGTTTCCTCACGATCTTTTCCTGAACCGCTGAGCATAGGATAAGTCAGCATTTAAAATTATCAATTGCATTGGTGCTGGCACTGGGATTGAACTCAGGTGACACCGAGCTATCACGGCTCGAAAAATAAGACATTATAAATGCAGAAAAGAAATTTAAACAATAGTAAACTTGTCATACAAATAGTACACTGGGTAATAAACTCGCAATGACGTAGTGACGACCAATAAGCCATTTTAACTGCTAGGAATATTTAAATTGTTTCTAGTGCTAATCTTTGCACTTAAGATTTAACATTAATATATGTAGAAAAAGTACGAAAAGACGTTAAGATTTTCGTCGGTGTGGCAATCAGCCGTTCAGTGGTTAAAGCGTCAGGCCGCGAATGCTGAAGACGTGGGTTCGATTCCCACAGCGGCGACAATCTTTTCGTACTTTTTCTACATATTTTATTGCTAGGAATATGTTAGTGGAGAAACCTCTTGTAACAGAAAATGGGCCAGGGTTAAGCAAGGGAGCAATGTATGGGAGAACTTGGCAAACGAGCTGGTGTTCCACTCAATATTAAGTTATTACCAACGCACCTGAACTTCCATAACTTCCGAGGCGTTGTAGATGCTTTGTTTTTGGTTATTTTATAAACCTGTCATTCATTAACGAAATATAAAAGTATGTGTGTACGGTATGTAATTTTTTAAAGAATCTTTCTGATATCACTATTGAAAGGTACAAAGTTTACTCACACTTTCAATTCACACCGCTCTTCTGAGAGGCCATTGATAAAACTGTCTATTCGTGTCACAACAGAAGCCATTATATAAATCAAAAGATACAAAGTTCAGTTTTAACTTTGCTGATTCCCTACTGCACCGCCAGGCGATGGATTAGGTTGCGTCGAGGATTAACATGGCGAGATTGGATTATCTGATAGGATGAAACGAGTTCTGTTGGAGGGATTCCTTATAATATTGCATAGCGAACGTTGCATATGCAGGTCACAGGTGTTAAAATAGGTAAATCTACGATAAGTGAATCGTGAATAGATAATTAATAATATATTATAATTTATTTGTAATGCGATGCCTAAGTTCTTATGGTAGAAGTAATAAAAATATTTTAGAATTAGTGGCAAAAGTTTACAAATTCACTAGCGTTCGTGTCCTTTATGTAGAAAAATATTTATTTTTATTTTATTTATTTATTTATATAAAAATGCTATCCAAGATTATTGATTTATTTTTAGTAGACGGTCCGGCAGTCTACATTGTTGCTTGTATTATTGGTTTCAGCATCGCGGTTTGTAATTTTCATTCCTGCTCGATGCATTGGTATTACACACACGGTTATTTCCCGACTGCCGAGAGAGAGAATGTTTTCGAGCGTTTGTAAAGTAAAGTAATAGCCTATTTTGTCCCACTGCTGAGTGAAGGACTCCCTGCATGGAGAACCGCGACACTAAATGAACACACATAAAGAAGATAACTTTTTAAAATTGTATTAAGCATTAAAATTCTTTAAACATCAATATTTACCGAGTTATTAAATTTTACAAAACAAACATTTTTAGAACACCCTTACGTATAAAACTGTAACGTAAAGTTCATTTGTAAAGATCACCAAGCATATGAATGGGTTGAATGCATTTTAAAGAGGTAAAACATGAGAAGGAGAGACTTGTAATGCGATGTTGTGGTAACGAATGAAAAAGTCTCTGAATATATGAATCAGTCAGTTGTAGTTGTATAGGATGTTACAAATATTGTTTCTTTTTTATTTAATTAGTTTGTTTGAAAAATATTTTTTTTTAATTATGGATTTTTTTAACGTTTCATTTTTTTATGATTATTGGCAAGTAGCGTTAGACACGGGCAATTGCACAAGAGTAATCTTGTGTAATGTAGGCTATAAAAACACGTCCTACCTAATTTATTATCGCGCAGTCGAGCCTGTTGGGCTATTAATATTAAAAGAATACGTTAAAAGTAAGTTTTAAATACTCACAAAACCTTTCGGATTTCAGTTTTAAAAAACATTCGGAGGCTGTAATTAACGATTCGTACGAATATAAAAATTTTTAAGGCTCAATCATATTTTTTAATGATGGACGGTGCTTAGTACGTAAAATACTACGCCATTTGGCCATTGTGTAGTCGATCACATGTTAATACTTTAAAATACAAATACGTAGAAACTACACCGATAGGACTGCAGTGCTTTGGCACGGCATTAAACTTTCGGGTTTTATATGAATCTAATATTTCTAAGTAAAATACTGTAACTCTGATCTTCTCGCTTTCCGTAATCGACGTTATAATATATGATAGTGGATGAAATTATTACGAACAATCCGTTACGGACGGCAGGAGCTTAACAATCCATTGTAGTGTCGGCGGCCCTGTGTTCCTTTAACTGATGAATAAAAGAGCAGCGTCATTAAATAGTGTCGGTTATACCGCTTAAAGGTAAAGTTATTTTCCAACAGTGCCCGATAAATATGTTAGCTATGATGCATTATGCAGAATGGACGGGTGCCCCGTACATACACATGGGACGTTTGACACGATTACCAGGTCCTGTAGTTAGTGTGTTTCTAAGAACACCGCAAGGAAAAGTTGTCCCGTGTTCGAAGACTGAATTAAAGGGAAGCTAAAGTGCGAGACGAGAGAGACCCGTTTATGCATATAATTACAGGATGTCAACCCGTCTTCTGAGCGCGGCAGCTATGCTAATCTTCGTAATTACTCTAATTATTATTGGACACGAGTTCAGTAATGAAGCAATTATAAAGAATGGTTGCGTAGCTTAGCAGTAATAGTATCTGGCTGTACAAACTTATGTGATGGGTTTGGATTTCGTTCGGAACAAAAAGTCATAATACTTTTCGTACTTTTGTTCACCATTTGATCTTTTAGTATCGTTTACGGATTTCTAAACACGGAGAGAAAAACATTTTTTAAAAATGAAACCTAGCTAGGTCGATTTATCGTCCCCGACTTCCCCTGTATGCTAAATCTCAAGAAAATCATTGGAGCCGTTTCCGACATTCAGATTATATACATATAACAAGAATTGCTCTTTTTTGTGGTATAAGAAGAAAGATAAGATTTGAGTAAATAAGCAATGGTAGTGTTTTGTTTACTAAAATAGCGATTGTAACTTTCGTATAGACGGAAATGTATTAGTACGAGTAAACGGAACAATTTAATGCATATGCGATTTTCATAAGAATGGTTGTGAGAACCTAATATACATATTGTCAATTTTTCAATACTAATATATTTAACTTAATTGTTTAAATTTCCTGTTTGTCTATTATGTTATCGTAATATTAATTAATAGTTATGTCAGTGTTATGTCTTTAATTGTGTCTGTGGCAAAAATTTAAAAAATTAATCTTTGACATGGCAGTCAGGTAAGCAACGTTGCGAGTTATACAACCCCGACAGTCTTATTGCGGACATGAATCAATGAGCCTTATCCAATGTTGAGAAATAATTTCCTCGCCCATTAAGTTTTTTTATTAAAGCGAGGAGGGCGCTTAAAACTCGATCGCGAACTTCATTATGGGCCCATTACGTATTGAGTTATATCCAATCTTCCAATAAATCTTTTGGCGGTCACGAGAGCATCAGAACGCCGGCGGCTCAGCCTCTCTGATGTTGCTTCGCTTATCCAAAATGAAACGGCGCGCCATTTTGGTGGAACGTGTTCGTGTTATAATGTTAAGGTTCTTTCATATATGCCCTTCATATACCCGCTGCTGATTACTCATATTGTATGTGAGACGTGTGTGGAAAAGAAGCCGGTTGTCTATAGTACTTTTAAAGTTTTATCGGAAAACAACAAAATATGGAGATGACAACATCAAAAAAGTTTCGCTGTGATTATAAACAAACAAACATATATATAACTATATCAGACCAAGACTAGTTTTATAGTAAAGTAAAAAAAAATTGTGCCTCGATTAAAGGCATTATAACCTCCTTAACGCGCAATCAGTTATTTGATGTTGATGTAATTAATATGGAATATAATCAAACGACTGCCCTATACATAATTATCCGCGATGTTTAGAAATCTGACTTTGAAATTTGAATTGAAAACAGCACAGTATGTAGCAGCGGTAGCCGCAGGTTCAATGTCTTTGAATTGAATGAGTTATCGTATTCTTCAACGCTCTAACAGCAAAATTCATCATCAAATCATTAAACATTTGTAAAGCAATAGAAGGCAATTTGCGGCACAGTCCTAACCTGCAATCGATCATAAAAGCCCACTTCATTACACATTCGATGGTTGCGAAGTTAATTAAACCTGCCGGCCACATCTGCTTTCTCTTCCCACCCGTCGCATAAACCGTAGCGCGAACATAAGGCTATCCCCCCGCCATGTCGAATGACCGCCGCCGGCACCAGAACTGCACAAAGACCACAATGGCGCGATTGAATGACAATGGCCTTCGACACGGACCATTGCCGGCGCTCCCCATTTCCATCAGCCAACACCCGGAGTCCATTGCGGGTGAGCCGAAAATTTTGAACGTTACGCGACACAGAATAGAGGTCGTTTCGGAACGCTCCGAATTGAAATTGTTCGTATCCGAACAAAGTCTGGACCTCGGTTGCGGTCGAAGCCTGTATAAAATTTACTCTTTGAGATATTTCCACCTAATACACTTGACGGACGCATTCCGACGTGTTTGCCAACAAAATAACTCGATTACGAGTTGTGAATCTTTTATGGATTTTTCTAGTGCGTAGTACATAAACATTCTTTAATTACACACACTTATTGTCGAACCAATGTTGTTAAACAATCTTTCAATATACCCTAAATTAATTAGACTTTAGTATTTCTCAGAGCAGTCGCAGATGTGACGTATTAAGGAAGGAATAAACGAGGCCGCCAATGCATAAGCCGCTGTAATATTTCCCGTGTAGTTGACATCATCTGGTGGCGACAAAAATAGGCCCCCTTTTTCGAAATCGAATTCGTGAGAAGAGTATATTTTACAAATATTTCTCTTAAATCTATTACATATATTATATAATTGTCATCTATGCATAAATCTTACTTTTGAAGAATTAAAGCATTATCATTGTTCTGCCATTCAAGTGGCACAGCATGTGAATCATGGTTTTAGCTACGTTTTTTTAGATCGGACACCTGCCTGACCTCAAACCTCCTTGGGAACCAACCCAGATCTGGAACAATTATCTCTGGTTCACACAATACTTGTTCTATGTGGGAATCGAACCCAGGACCCACGGCGCTGAAGGAAGCCCACCTTAAGTGGAAGCCCATTGCTCAGCAACTTCGCCATATCTGTTGAGAAATTAAAGCATACAATATTTATTTCTTTTGTATAAAATAATTCTTAATTGCATTGTCTTTAATTTATGCCACAGTAGGAAGTGCTTTCGAATGAATTTTTTACAACGTATGAACTCTCGTGGTCCCATTAATACTTTGTTACGAGAAAGTTTTGTTTGTTAAAATATGCATAAATATAATTTAGTCTGTCATATTATTCTTATGCATGAACGTTTGCAAATTTGATGTTATAATTGACAGCCATAGTTTTTCACTGATTTCAAAAAATATTTCGATGATATGTGAAGTCTGCCAAACCGCAGTCGGGTCGCATGGTGGACTAAGCCTTACTCTCTCGCGTACAGAGGAAGCCTTTGCCCAGCAGTCGGACATAAAATGTAGGCTTTATATGGGTTACGTTGTTTTTATTTTACATTGTCGGCACAATTCGCGAGTGCGCGTTAAGTTATTGAAGAATCATTGAACACGCATTTATAACGGTGTGCGAATTCTTACGGTTGGTTAGTTTTTTTTATTAAAATTGGAAAAGAAAATAGATGAGGTTAGGTAACTGAGGCGGTGATTGCACAAAAAATTGTACGTGCGATTGGTGTCCGCCAAATAGTATATATAGTCTTGCAGATATTTGTAAACAATATTAAAAAAATACTTAATCAAAATCATAAAACAAAAAGTTTTCATATTATTTGAGATGTAAAAAAACTTACGCCATGTTTCAATACGACGTGAAGAAAATAATTTGGCAGGCGATCGCTGCATGAGGCAGCTGGCTTCGAAGCGTGACAAATTGAAACTTCGTATGGAATGACGGACATACAAATAGCAGAAATAGGTCTTTATAAAAGGATAATATTTTTCTATTTTCAGTTTTTGATATTTCGGGTTGGGGCTTTAAATAAATATCTTGATTATGACCATTTTGCATACAATTCCATGTATACCTACAGTTGTTGACGACGATGGTTGTTGTTGTGTGGTAGAGCGTGGTGGTGGGTGTTTGGAGTACCAGATAATGAGCCTGTCTTTTGTATTAGAAGGTGCGTGTTCGATCTCGACTACTGGAAAACAGTGTGTGATGAACATAGTATTTCTTCAGACTGGGTGTTTTTCTATCTATCTGTAATACGTGTACAAAATAAGAGTTTTTAATTACTCTGACCAGTAACATAGATACGTAAGACCAAATAATGGTGGGCTGATGATTAACTCGTAATATATAATGCAGGGAAAGACTGGATGATAAAATGTAAAAGTAGGGGTATAGAGAACCATGAAATCTCTTTACTCAAAGCGACCTCTGAAAATATCTAACATAAAACGCATTAATAAAGACTAGTGGTCGAAATTCGACTATAATTAATTATACATGGTAGTACGTTTAATAATTTAAAAATATTAGCATTCTGCACTTCTTCTCTTATGAGCTATGTGCTGGAATTTTCATACTCCTCTGTCCGCGCAATTTTCATAAAAAGGGGTACAAAGATTTTGCTTCACTAATTAATATATAGATAACTAGCTTTTACCCGCGGATTCGTTCGCGTTGAAGCCCTTAAATAAATATCTTTTTTTTTTAAATGTATTTTGTTTGTAATAAAAATAATCCTATGGCCTTTTTAATACCTCTATGAATATGTGTACAAAGTTTCATTATAATCGACGACCCGAGTGGCGTAGTTGGTAGTGTACCTGCCTCCTGCGCCAGAGGGTGTGGGTTCGATCCCCACTACTGGAAAAATATTGTGTGCTGAACATGGTGTTTTTCTAGTGTCTGGGTGTTTTTATATGTATAATATGTATTTATTTACAAAAGAAAAGTATGTTTAAGTATGTTTATCAGTTTTCTAGTACCCATAGTACAAGCTTTGCTTAGTTTGGCACTAGAAAATGTTGTGTACAAATGTGTCATAAAAAAAAATATTTATAAATTATTTATAAAAATTTATTTATTTATTTATAATCTTTTGAGTAGTTTTTGCGTAAAAGCGTCAGCACTTTCATTCAATTTTTTTATAATATTAATAGGGAAGTAGGGATTAAAAAGTAAACTATTACTCATACTAATCCTTAACCATAACTGAAGTTTAAAATATGTAGAAAAAGTGCGAAAAGATTGTCGCCGCTTTGGGAATCGAACCCACGTCTTCGTTAATTAGAAAATTAGTTAGTTAAAATTATCGTTGTAAAACGATATTCGAAGTTGTTTGTATGCTGGAAAGGATATAACAATAGATGGCGCCAAGCATTGCTTCAAATGCTAAGAAAACAATGTAGAAGAATGCGTTAAGATTTTCGTCGGTGTGGTAATCAGCCGTTTAGCTCAGTGGCTAGAGCGTTAGAATAACTGCAGTGTCAATATGTAGTGATACGGAATAAAGATACTTTATTATTACTATTGTATACTTTTTCAATCAATGAGGATTTGTTTGTTATGTTTTGTCTGGAAAGTCGACACCTACTACTGAACCATGCGGTCCCATCAAAGGGAAACTAAAGAAGTTATGAATGACTGGCATTCTTTGTCTTCCCATTCATTCTTTTCTCTCGTTAAATAAAGGCGACAACTGACAATTACATTATTTCAATGCTTCGTTGATTGTTAGGAAACAATGGGTTCTTTTTACAGCGCCGTCTAGAACTTTTGGCGCCACGATGAGTACATTGTTTTTTTTTATGTCGGCTCGAATCTACTCGAGTGCGGTGAAACGAAATCTTACCTACCACAAAATTCACGCTATTTTGAACATCGTTGTTTGTTCTAATTTAGAATAATTGGGGGATCATTGCTTCTGAATCAGGATTACGGTTGCTATTAGTAATTACTAATAATTTGGATTTTATCATTCTACTAATATTTCATATGAGTCATTATAACGATTATCCATTATGTAATTAATCTATTAAAGATGGACGTTCTTTATTATTGAGTAAAATCGAGACTTAAGGAGTAATTAATAAAAAATTAAATGGTAGCTAAACGAAACTGATCACAAATAAAAAAAAACTCGTGAACAATTTGAATGTCGCTAACTGTATTGTACGAGTATTAAGATGGTCTTGGTTCTGAGGTCGTTTAACAAGGTCACGAGCAGTTGCTAAGCCATTGGCTTCAGTTCCGTAGTTCGCGGGTTCGATCCCCACACGGAGCAAGTATTTGTATGACCCACAGATAATTGTTCCGGATCTGGTTGTTTGTCCCAGGGAGGGTTGACAGGAAGACGGCCGGTCGTAAAAACGAAAGTAGGTATAAGGCCAGGAGATAAAGGGGAGATGTTTGGTCTGGATAGTCAGAGTTGGATGGACGAAAGGAACCGCTTTAAATTTTGGTGGGTTTTTGTTTATTTAATTTCAAAGGGATGGTAACAGAGCAGGCGGCGTGTCTGATGGTACAGTAGGAACAGTAGATGCTCTTGGATACTTACGACATCTGAAGGTGTTCAGATTGGTTGCCAACTTTTAACAGTGAGTCCCCGTTACCTCACTCACCAGCGACACGCAAAAGTATACCTACTTTTACTTCACGCTCGTCTTGTGTATACTTCATCGGGCGATTCTACTCATTCGCAGAAGCTGTTGCGTTTCCCTACTATAGTAGCCTCACTCAAACGTATAAATACATTGCCCGATTCCCAATCCCGCCTGTACGGGGAGGAGCTGTTTTAAAATCAAATATATAATTGAAATATACGGACGTATTTATCTTATTAAAGTTTGGAGCAGATATTGTGAATGAGAATTAACTTCTCAATGATATGAAGTTTAAAGTGAAATGAGAAGGAGAAATTATGGTGGTTTGCTATTCTCTTCTCCTCTTTCTATACATATACAGTCGGAAATCATGTGAATGTATAAACGACACACCACAGACGGACCACACGGTTCTTAAATATTAAAATGCGATCTAGACCGAGTGGTGCACGCTCCGCTCTCGGCTACTAAAATTAAAAGTAAAAAACTCTCCTGCCAGCGCATGTATTAAAAGAGACGAAAAAAAAGGTTAAGGACTACTTGCACGGCACAGACAAATAAACAGTAAAGCTGAAGGACGTGGGTGACGCTAAAAAGTAGCGCATATTTCCCGAGGGCGCCCCATTCTTGCATTCACCATTGTTATTTATATTAGTATTGTATACATTTAAACAGAACTCATCATATTTTAATTTAAGTTATACACATATATTCATGTTCGCATTTTAATGCTCTTGAACCAAGGAACGCTTCCTGTGATTTATCGTAGTAATGAAATGAAGATGACACTTCGTCTTCAATTCGTTAATGCATGACATTGGTACTGAATGAAATTTTTTTATTGTACTCTTTTATTGTTGCCGTACATTGGGATAAGGTAATCCTGTGTTTGAATGTTTTTGAGTCAGATCCTTTAATCATATGATATTCGATTCCAAGGCCTGCGGCGTCGAAGTATAATATTATATCGCCTAGAAACAACTGTTCTGCATTATTATCAGAAATCCCAGTTCACGTACTCCCAGTAGTCCCAGTACTTCATATTGGCGGTAATTTTGCGTAAATTCTGCTGTAAGAAGAGTACAGTAAATCATGAAATTAAGTAGTTGAATATATCATTGAACTTTAACGTACTTTATTTTAATTGATGTTTAGTTTTTAGTCCGTAGACTGTTGAAGCTTCGTCGAACGCAGCACTCTTGGGATAGCCAGATCCCACGATCTTGATACGGCCGTCTTCAATGAGTGCATTGAAGGTCTTTCACTGAAAGCTCGATTTAGGCTTGTAAATCGACGCATGTAGAACCTTCATATATGCGTTCAAATAGCCTAACTTTAATTTTACCACATCAAAGTAGCGTCATTTCGAGAATAAAAAGTACACAACATTGTAAGAGCAACAACGTTGATAGCTAACGTGAATTTATTGCCTTCCTTCCACAGGGTGTCTGCGAAAATAATTCTTCGTTGTGTACAGATGACGCTATCGTATTAGATCTATA